ACTGTAGTCTTGACCTCCTGGGCTCGAATGATCTTCCCATCTCAGCCTCCCAAGTGGCTAGGGCTACAGGCATGCATCACCACGCTGAGCTAATTTTTAACTTTTCTGTAGAAGCAGAGTCTCCCTATATTACCCAGTCTGGGCTCAAACTCCTGGCCTCAAGTGATTCTCCTGCCTCAGCCTCCCAAAGTGCTGGGATTACAGGCATGAGCCACTGTATCCAGCCAAGATTTTTTTATTTGTCTTAAACATTCAGCAATTTTTATTATAATATGCTTGAGCATGGATTTCTTAATTTATTCTGTTTAGGATTTGCTTATTTTCTTGAATCAAGTTTATGTGTTACACAAACTATGGGAATTTTCCAGCCATTACATTTTTAATACTTCTTTTTTCTGTACCACGTGATTTTCTCTCTCCTTCTGGGACACCAGTAACATGAAAGTAGACCTTTCTGTATTGCCCCGTAGGTTCCTGAGGCTCTCTTCAATTTTTCAATTTTTTTTTATTGGATAATTTCCATTAATCTGTTTTCAAGTTCACTGACTCCCCTCTGTTATTTTCATTGTGCTATTGAGTTTATCAAGTAGCCACATTTTAAAATTTTGGTTATTGTATTTCTCAGTTCTCAAATTTAATTTGGTTATTTTTATAGCTTCTATTTTTCTACTGAGACTTCTCAGCTTTTCATTCATTTCAACAGTGTTTGCCTTCTTGGATTATAGTACCTTAAAGTCTTTGTCTAATCATTTCAACATCTAGACCCTCTTGTCATTGGCATCTGTTGTGTTTTTTACCTGAAATTGTTAAAGTTTTTCTTGATTCTTTATATGTGGAGTACTTTTTGTATTGTATCCTGGCCATTGGAATATCATGGCATGAGACTCTGGGTCTCATATTTGTTTAAATCCTATATAGAATGCTGATTGTTATTATTATTTTTAGCCAGAAAATTGACCCACTTAGTTTTGGGCTGTAGTTTCATTATCAGTTTAGTTTTCAACGGATTTCTGGTGCTAGTCAGATGTATTCTGCATATATTTATTGTCCATTGGCCAGCCTGGGATCTTGGTGGTGGTCTGTTCTCTAGTTCAGTTCTCAAAGTCTTTGGTATATGTTTAGGATTGGATGCATATATGCTTATTTCAGAGATAAGCCCAGGGATACATAGACTACTTTATTAGATCCCTTTCTTCAGCTGCCTTCTGAGGGTAAGTGGCAGAGAGAGAGAGAGAGAGCGAGCGAGCCATACATCAGCAGGTGAGCACCCAAAGCTGAGGATGATGAGAATCCCTAGCCAGTCTAGGGGATATTGTTTGAGCCCATAGTCAATCTGTGCTTGGTCTCCAGACTTCTCAATCACTTGTGCCAATAATTTTTTTATTTCCTAAACTAGGTGAGATCAGGTCTAGTAAAAGAGTTTTGAGTGATATGTATGCCTCTCGTGAGCATGGAAGCAATGGTGGTGAATGAGATTGTGGAATAAGAATGTGTCAAGAGAGAAGAAAAGAGAAGCCCATTTTAAAAGACAGGTAGGAAGAGGAGCCCGTGGAAGAGAATGAGAGGAGTACTTAGAGACACAGGCGAGTTCTTTGTCACGAAAGCCCCAGAAAGAGAATGAGTCAAGAAATAGAGAGTAATTAACAGCGTAAAATACTTGTAGGGGATCAGTCAAGATAAGAACTGAGAAGGGCCCTTGGGATCTATCAACATGAGGCTGTTGAAAAAACAGTTGTAGTTACCACACTAGAAGAGTCCTTTGAAATCATACTCTGCACCCTCTTCTGCAGATGAGGCGAGTGAGATAATGAGCTACTTAGTTTTTTAGTTTTTTTTTTTTTTTAGGTGGCAGATAGAGAATTACAATAAGTAGAGGTCAAGGCTCTAAGGGTATTTAAAGGTCACCTGCTCTGATTCCTTATCCAGTACTTGAGTCTCCTGTACAACAGCTCTCTGAAGCCTGTGCTTAAATACATCTACTGGGAGAGAACTCAGTTTCCAGTTCTAATGAGAGCCCTTAGTGTCTGATTCTTTACACCGTGTTCTCTTATACCACAGGGCAGGCACATGCCAGGAGATTGTCTGCATCCTAAGCTGATCCCAGAGGAAGCTGATTGGATTTGAGAACTCAGAAGATTCGGTCAGGTTTTGAGTTTTAAGAAGACTCTTGTCCAAAATGAAACCCTCTCCTCATAACTCCGGCCACTCCCTAAATAAAGACAAATCCTTAGGGAATTCCAGGACCAGGCTATTCCAGGACCAGCATAGCATTTCCACATGGGTGTTCACAGGCACCTGCAGCCCGATACATGAAAAGGTGAGCGCATCACCTTCCGCTGCCAAAACCTGTTTTTATTCTTGAGACTCTGACTCCTCTTTCATCCAGGTGCTCAAGACAGAACTCTGGAGGTCTCCTTGACTCGTCTGTTTCCTCTATTCCTCATTTTAAAACGAATCATTGTTATTCTTCCCAGGCATCCCTGGAACTTGCCAATTTCTTCTTACTCCATCGTGCCTCTCAGGTACAGGCCACCATTACCTCCTGTGTGGACAATGATCAGCCTTCCAACTGGTTTCCTGCTTCCAGTGTCTTCCCGTATAACCTGTTTTCCACATTGAAGCCTGTGACCTCCATGCTCAAAATCCTTCAGTGCCTTCCCATTGCTCTCAGGATAAAATACAAGCTCCCTAACATGGCCAAGAGTTTGTCCTTAATTCTAGGGCCTCTGCCTGCTCTGTAGCCTCATCCTGTGCCACTCTTTCTCACTCACTTTTTGCACTTCCTTGACAAAGCCATGCTATTTTTCTCCTTTAGTGCTTTTCACTATTCCCATTCTTGGAGCTCCTTTTTGTCACCTTCTCTAATACTGCCTATACATTCTTAAGATCTTTGTTTGGATATCACCTTTTCAATAAAGCTTTCCTTAACTAACCCCTCTCCCCCACCATCCTAGGTAGGATGGTTGCCATCCCTGTCCTCTCACAGGTCCTTGGGATGCCTGTGTTATGTAACTTTTACTATTCTCTAGTTATCTGCTTTGAATCTTTCTCCCCATTTGACTGTAAGGCCCAGGAGAACAGGGGATATGTCTGCCCTCATTCTCACAGTATTTTTACTGCCTGGCACAGTGCCTAGCACACAGAGTGTGTTAAGTGTGTACAATTCTATGGTTTAATTATTTATTTAATGTTTTTGGTGTTGTTGGCACCACTTGGATGAAAAGAAGCTGGGCTCAGATGAATTAGTACACCAAAATTCTTGCTGCACCTTACAGAGTTCAGATAGACATCCTCTACATTCTCTGCTGTCCCAGGGAGTACTGAGTGTAACAACTGAGATGGGAGCTATTGCGGCCTCACCAGAAGACCAACCCTCAAAAGTGTACCCCAGGAGGTCTCATTTCAATACCAAAATCTTCTCCCTGGAATACCAGTAAGCCCTATGGTGACATCAAAGCCAACCAGGTCTCTGATTAATTTGAGCTAATTACTCTTAGTAAATGTGATTCCAGCCCAAACACAAAGCTTTGGTGGCCTAATCATCCATTCACTCTTTATTCAGCAAATATTTAATGAGCACCTACTCTGTGCTATTCTCTGTGCTAGGTGCTGAGAACACAAGACAGACAGGGGCCCCTGTCTATTAGTTAACATGATGGTGGTCACGTAGAGCATGGGGCAAGGGAGGGCTGTTAGATAAATAATTATATAGTGATTGTGATTAGTGCTATGATGTAAAAGTACTGGGTTCTCTAACAGCATATAAAGGGGGTCCTGATATAGGTCTGGAGAATTGGAAAGGATTTCCCTGAAGCAGTGGCCTAGGTATACATAATTTTTGCCAGGCCATGAAATGAGCAAGGAGTGTTCCAGGCAGAGGGAGCAGCAGAGCAAAGGGACTTGGCAGTTGGGAAGGAGCATGATGCCTTTTAGTTGCTGAAGGAAGGCACATGGCAAAGCATTTGAGAGATGAGATGGGCCGAAAGAAGCTAGGGAAGAAATCAGGCCCAGAGCATGCCAGGCCTTGTAGGCCAGGTAAGGATGTATAGATTTTATCTAAGAATTATGAAAAGCTCTCACCAAGAACTGTTTGATCCTCTGAGGGAACAGGAGTAGTAGCTGCTGTCAAGTACTTGGCATTTAATTTTTGTAATACCCATGCATGGCAGGTGTGGTAGTTTTCAAACTTGGCTTTAAATTGACACTCCTCCCACTTAGAGATAGGGTCTATGTCCCCTCCTCTTAATCTGAGTGGGCTTGTGATGGTTTTGACCAACAGAGTGCAAAGGAGGTGACACTATGTGACTTGCAAAGCTAGATCATAAAAGGTCATGCAACTTCCGCCTGTTCACTGGAACACTAGCTTTTAGAATCCTGCTGGAGAGGCCACAGGTAAGTCATTGTTCCAGCTGAACCCAGCCTTTGAGGCAACCCTGCCTGGGACTATGTGAAAAAGCCTCAGGTTATTCCAACCCCCAGCCATTTGAGTTTTTCCATCTGAGACCCCAGACATCATGCTGCAGACACAAGCCATACCTGTTATGTCCTGTCTAAATTTCTGATCTGAGACTCTGTGAGCACAATCGAGTGATTGCTTTGTTATTCCACAAAGTGTTAATGTGGTTTAATCTGCAAGAATAGAGAGCTGAGACAGTTGATATATTATTAGTATTCTCCCATCTTACAAATGAGGAAGCTGAGTTTCAGAAAGATGAAGCAACTCGATTCAGGCCTTGCAGACAGTCAATGGTAGAGCCACGATTGAATCAAGGTCTGGTTAATTGCAGAGCCTGCTCCCTTCTGATGATCCCAGGTGACTCCTATACTGAGTAAGGCTCCCTGACAAACATCTCCCAAGCTCCCCCATTGCTGCCCTTCAATCTGGAGACCCACTTTGGTCAATCTAGATTTCAATGACTAGGATTTGGTCACAGAAACAGCCTTCGTGACACATTTGATTTACATTCTTTTCAAAGAATTGAAAGACATTCACTCTGCAATCACTTCTTTTCTGACTTTATTTTCCCCTCCACACCCACAGGCAGGAGCCAGATATTTTTGCCAAGCCTGGCAAATCTGCTTCTCTCCCTACATTGCCCCCAGTGCACCAATGCCCACTAGTCCCCTATTAAGTCCAAATCAGGGTTGTGAGAGGGCTGATTCAGCTCCCTCTCCCCACCCCCTGGGAAGAGTTAGGGATGAGCAAATCACTTATTAGAGTAATTCTGGGAGCTGAGGCAGAGCCATGGCTGGAAGCCACCCACTAACAAGAAACCCAGGACATCAATCAGCCAAACTGATTTTTCTGCTGCCGCAGCCATTTAAACAGTTATCTTTGCTCGAGGCTTTATCCAAAGTTACTCAATCAGTGGGTTCCTGGGCGATAAGTCACCGCAGCCTTACTGCACTGTCTCTGTGTCCTAGGGCTGCCTCTTTACTCACTTCTCGAGAGGGGTTGAAGTTCATTTGTTGCACTCTAAAAAGAAGAGCGCCTGCACTGCTTGCGCACATATTCTGGTTATAGCAGGAAGATGAAAAAGGATTTTGAGGTCTGCTGGGATATCAATACACTTCTCCTTTGACGCCCTGCGGAGGCAAGGGAAGGGTTTTAAATTCATTTTGTAGCGCCCCCTGCTGGTCGCGTTGTCCAGCTGCAACAGATGCAAGATCCAAGCCTTCGAGGGAGCACCTTACAAGCCATTTGTGGAGTGGGGAGGGGAGCCCTTAGCCACACAATCTCCTTTTCCATTTTACATATGGAGAAGTTGAGGCCAGAAAGAAAAACATGATTCCCTCAAGGTTGAATAGTGAGTCAGTGCTATTGTTAGAATCAGCCTCTCCCAAGCTAGCGCCTTTTCTAGGCTCTGAGAGTGCCCAGCGCATAGTTAAGTGGCTCTGCTTGACAAGCACAGCATGAAATTCGGAGGTCCTGGATTCAAACCTGAGCTGTGCCACTTAATAGCTGTCATGAGAAGGGAGTTCTCAGAGACTCAGTTTTCTCATCTAGGAAATAGGGGTAAAATTAATCGGGGTAAAATTAAAATGGGTAAAATAGGATTTTGTGAGGATTCATTCATCCACACATTTATTAAAAACCTATTGAGTGTCTACTGTGGGCCATGCACCATGCTGGGTACTTGCGGTATAATGGTGAATAGAACATTGCAGTACCTGTTTTTTGCTTTGTTGTTTGTTTTTAGGGTGGCAGTATAATGAGAGTGTTAGATAACATATGCAAATACACAGCATAAATTCATTTGAGAAGGGCAACATTTTCCCTTTGATTCTCCACTTTCCAAATATCAGGAGGCTTGGGGCCTTGCCCTAGCTGTATCAATTTAGGAATATTGATGACTCGAAGAGATTAAGTTATTTAAAGGTCAAGACCACATAAATCTCTGTATTCTTCAGTATGCCTGCCCCCAGGATGTGCTCAGTAAACATTTGTTTGGTTGCATCAAAGTCCCACGTTCTGGCTTCCTCGACTCCCCGGCTGCAAGCCAATCGCTGTCCGTGGTACTGAAAACCAAATTCCTGCTCCCGAGCATGAGGCGGCGCAGGTGCTGAGGCAGAAAATGGAGCCCAGGGGAAGTGAATAAAGAGAGGAAGAATGAGCCAGCTTTTCACTGACTATTAGTGACATCTTCATTCTGCCGCTCGTGGAATCCAAAGCTGATATTTCTTTTTCCAGATGTCCCCACTTGGCATTTCTTGCTAACTGGAAACACTGGGCAGATAGGTGATGCAGGATGAACATCTCTACAATGGCGGGAGGGAGAGGATACTGGGAGTCCATAGCCCCATAAAGTCCTATTTTAAAGTGTTCCGAAAAAATGGTGGATTCTTTCTCCAGATTCTTCCTGGGCAAGGAAAAGGCAGCAGTCATCGATGCCTTCTCCAGCTGCTTTCATCCATGTCTGTCACCCAAGAATGTAGGCAGCTCTGAGTCAGAACGGGCTGTGGAAGTTCTGACTCAGATACTCAGATGTATATGGTAGAGTCATATATGTGGTATACAGTAGCCCAAGAGAGATAGGTCTGGGATTAACAGGCTGAAACTGAGTAAGTGTTTCATTTTGACCCACATTTATTTCATGCATTCTATAAATATTTATTGAGTGCTTCCCATGGCCTGGAACTGTTATAGGAGCTACAGCTATACAGTCAAGTACAAGAAAGACAAGATTTCTGGCTTCCTGAAACTTACATTCTAGTGGATGAGAGAAAGAATAAACAAGTACACAAATGTGTAGAATAATTCCAAGCAAGAGGATAGATGATGATAGATAAGGTGTCTTTTAGATAAGGTGATCATGGGAGACCTCTTTGAGGAGGTGTCATTTGAGCACAGATGTGAATGAATTGAGAGAATAAGACATGCAAATATTAAGGGAGGCAGCTTTCTAACTAGAAGCAACAACAAGAGCAAACACCCTGAGATGGGAACAATATGCATATCCAAGGACCAGAAAGGGAGCCAGTGTGAGTGGAGCAGATTAGACATTAGGGGACACGAAGACCAGATCCTGTAGGTCTTGAGGAGGACAAAGCAGGGTGTCTGGAATATGAAAAACACAAAATGACAGTTACTGATGCACCTGCTATCATTTATTGATCACTGAGTATGCAGTAGACACTGTGCTAAGCATTTACATATATTAATTTCATACTTGCATCAACCCTATGAGGAAAGTGAAGTTATTCATCTATTTCACTGATAAGAAAATTGAAGCCCAGAGAGATTAAGCAACTTGCCAAAGATCACACAGCTAGTCCAGGGCCAAGCCAGGCAGTCTGGCTCTGGAGCCCTTCATTGCTCCTAATCACTGTATTCTATTGATAAAAACATCATTACTCAGAGAGGTAAGTGAATTGCCTAGTTAGTTATACACAGGCCAGAAATGATGGATCAGACTTGAATCCTAGGATTCAGCCCTAGGGTATTTCCACTGCACCACACTGCCTCTTTCTGTGGTAAAGCAGAACAAAGGAGAGAGGCTGTTCTGTGACACCCCCACAGAGGCACGGAGCAATTTTAATGCTGCCAGCGAGCCCCATGGGGACTGTATTTAAATGATGATCTGCACTGTGCGGTTGTCTGATATTCCCTCCCACTCACCTTTCTCAAATGTGAAAACCATGTCACTCCATGCACCCTACCCAACATGTAAATGCTTTACCAAGGAAGCTGAACCTTTCTGTATGGATTTGGGGTGTTGAGAAAGCTCCCTCCTTAAATGCCATTGTTTCAGGGGCTTGTAAAGATGACTCAGAGAGAGAGAGAGAGAGAGAGAAGCTACAATGGAAAATTAATGATCTTATCTGAGATGGGACCCAGGCTGAAGGCTCAGCTTTAGGCTGATAAAGGTCCTTCAGCGAGGGCTCCAAGGAGTCCTGAGTTGTCACTGACCATTTATTTAAAGAGAACTCAGAAGCAAGGCTACCAGCTACTTCCGTTCCCCACAACTTTTAATATTCCTGAGTGTGTCACAAAACTGGGAGGGTGTGGAGTGTGCGTGTTGAAGGATGTATTTGCATGAGTGCTGCTCTTGTTTCTCTCTGTGTATGTTTGTCTGTGTGTATTTGGGTGAGGTTGTGCTTCTGTAAGTTTGTGTGTGAATCTGAGTACTAGTGAGGGTCTGTGTATTTGGCCATGCTTGTGTGTGTCTGTTCAAAACCAGGTGTATGTATGTTTGTTTGGTGTGAATCTGTGTATATTGGTCTGTGGGTACTTGTGGGTCTCTGGGTGAGGATCTCTATGAGGGGAGGAATCCTAGATGTTTAGTTAGAAATTGGCAAATGCAGGTGGGCTAGAATAATGGAAGTAGTTACAGTGCGGGTCTTTTGATGCCGCTAATGAGGTAGGAGAATAAAAAGCGGTGAGGTTACACCACATATAAAACCTTTAAAAAGTTTTCATCTTCAATTCGGGGAGGATCAGTTACTGTTAATAATAATAGCAGTTTATAATTAATAGTAGTATTGTGGAACCAGTCACATCAGCTCCCATTTCAAGAATACCTACTGTATGCTTCATTATATTTAGCATCTGCCATTCTCATGACAACTCTGTGCTTTTCTCTATGTCCATTTCACCAAGGAGGCAACTGGAGCTCAGAGAGGTTGAGTAACTTGCCCAGGGTCACACAGTTAGCAGGAGTGGAGCCCGGAGGAGAACTCAGGCATAATTGACACCAGAGGCTGAGTTTTTTCCCCTCTCCAGACTGCAATTCCTCACCTACACCAGCCACTACCCTAGCTCCAGCCGGACTCCAGCCCCGGAACGTGAAGAAGAGGATGGCAGAGCAGGCACAACACAAAGGGAGAACAAGGTTCTAGGCCCCGCTTGCCCATGGAGTTGTGTGGCCTTAAGACAATAGTCTTCCCTCTGCACCTCCATTTCCTCACCACAGAAGTGAGAATCTGGATTCATTGTCTCCTGCTCTGACAGGGCCACAGGGGTGGGGTCTTTGTGGGTGGTCCCTATACCACCTGGGGATTGTTGACCTGAAAAAGGGCCTCTGTGGGGAGACAGAAGAGGAAATTCAAGATCTGTGTCCACCTGGCCTAGGGCACTCACTCCTTTCCTTCCCAGTTGTGGGGGATGCACCTGCTTGGGCCTCAGCCCCCATTCCCATCCACGCCCCCTCTTCTCCTTGGTGCACTTTCCTGTATTGCAGAGATAGGAGTTGAAAACTATTTTCCCCAGCCTCCCTTGCAGCTAAAGTTCTCGATGTTGATTATATTCTGTCAATTATCTAGGCTGTATGAGATTTGACTCTGGAATTGAAACAGAGGCCATCTCTCTGCTGCTGTGGCTCTTTCCTCCAGCAAGAGCCATCACGGCAGCATGGGGGGGTTTGCAGCAGCATCTCAGAGTCTGGCCACCCCCATGGGTGTTGAGAGGCAGTTGTGATGATGTCTTGATGGCTCCCCAGCCCCAGCTTCCAGATCCCTGGACTCAAGGGTGACAGTAAGTTCTTGAACTCACTATTTGCAGGGGTGGTCTCCCGTTTGCCTGACTGTCTGATTGCATGCCTGGTTGGTCAGGTAGCATTCTGGGAGTCATTTACGGAGGCCCTGTTGACTCCTCCAGCACCTTCCCTCCCCTAGCACCTTTTAGAGTTCCTTATCCCCTATGTTAAATCAACTTTTGCTTTAAAAAGCCTGGATGATTTCTTTCGGCTGCACAGAACCATTTCTGATCACCATGGAGCACTTCTACTCAGCCTTCAAAACCCAGCCTTGGTCTCCAGCTCCAGGATGACTTCCCATATTGAACAGACTAGCCTGGGTACTTCTGTATATCCATACCTGTATCTCAGCCCTGTCCAGGTGGTGCTGAAATTACTGGAAGTACTGTTTACTTGCTATCATCCCTGCCAGCTTGTGATCCCCAGAGGATAGGAACTGGGTCATCTCAGTCATGCAGCTGAGTGTTTAGCAGAAAACCTGGCCTGTAATACATACTCCAGGTGTTTTGTGGAATTAATACAGAAAAGGCCACAATTTGGCTGGGCGCGGTGGCTCATGCCTGTAATCCCAGCAGTTTGGGAGGCCAAGGCGGGCGGATCACGAGGTCAGGA